AAGACGGCCTTGAGGTCCCAAATGAGCTTCCCAAGAGGGCCCAAAGAGTCTAAAATTGCTGATTTTCCAGAGTGTTTTTCGATGTTTTTTGCTTTTCCGCCTTTCCGGCTTCCCGACGCTCCAAGACGCGCGAAGAGGCCCCAAAGATAGCCCCAAGATGGCCCAAGACTCCCCCAAGACGGCCTCCAGACGGCCCAAGACGGCCCCAAGACGGCCCAAGAGGTCACCAAAACGGCCCAAGAGGGCCGATTTGGAGGGGGGGGGGGTCCGGGACGAGCGATCCACGGGGCTTTTCCTGGCCCACGAGGGCCTCAAGACGGGCCACGAAGCCCCCAAGAGGCTTCCAAGACGGCCCACGAAGGCTCCGAGACGCCAAACGACCGCTCCAAGACGCCCACGATGGCCCCAAGACGGGCCAAGAGGTCTCCAAGACGGCTTGAGGTCCCAAATGAGCTTCCCAAGAGGGCCCAAAGAGTCTAAAATTGCTGATTTTCCAGAGTGTTTTTCGATGTTTTTTCCTGTTCCGCCTTTCCGGCTTCCCGACGCTTCAAGACGCGCGACGAGGCCCCAAAGATAGCCCCAAGATGGCCCAAGAGTCCCCCAAGATGGCCTCCAGACGGCCCAAGACGGCCCCAAGACGGCCCAAGAGGTCCCCAAGACGGCCCAAGAGGGCCGATTTGAAGGGGGGGGGGTCCGGGACGAGCGATCCACGGGGCTTTTCCTGGCCCAAGAGGGCCTCAAGACGGGCCACGAAGCCCCCAAGAGGCTTCCAAGACGGCCCACGAAGGCTCCGAGACGCCAAACGACCGCTCCAAGACGCCCACGATGGCCCCAAGACGGGCCAAGAGGTCTCCAAGACGGCCTTGAGGTCCCAAATGAGCTTCCCAAGAAGGCCCAAAGAGTCTAAAATTGCTGATTTTCCAGAGTGTTTTTCGATGTTTTTTGCTTTTCCGCCTTTCCGGCTTCCCGACGCTCCAAGACGCGCGAAGAGGCCCCAAAGATAGCCCCAAGATGGCCCAAGACTCCCCCAAGACGGCCTCCAGACGGCCCAAGACGGCCCCAAGACGGCCCAAGAGGTCCCCAAGACGGCCCAAGAGGGCCGATTTGGAGGGGGGGGGGGTCCGGGACGAGCGATCCACGGAGCTTTTCCTGGCCCAAGAGGACCTCAAGACGGGCCACGAAGCCCCCAAGAGGCTTCCAAGACGGCCCATTAAGGCTCCGAGACGCCAAACGACCGCTCCAAGACGCCCACGATGGCCCCAAGACGGGCCAAGAGGTCTCCAAGACGGCCTTGAGGTCCCAAGTGAGCTTCCCAAGAAGGCCCAAAGAGTCTAAAATTGCTGATTTTCCAATGTGTTTTTCGATGTTTTTTCCTTTTCCGCCTTTCCGGCTTCCCGACGCTCCAAGACGCGCGAAGAGGCCCCAAAGATAGCCCCAAGATGGCCCAAGAGTCCCCCAAGACGGCCTCCAGACAGCCCAAAACGGCCCCAAGACGGCCCAAGAGGTCCCCAAGACGGCCCAAGAGAGCCGATTTGGAGGTGGGGAGGGGTCCGGGACGAGCGATCCACGAGGCTTTTCCTGGCCCAAGAGGGCCTCAAGACGGGCCACGAAGCCCCCAAGAGGCCTCCAAGACGGCCCACGAAGGCTCCGAGACGCCAAACGACCGCTCCAAGACGCCCACGATGGCCCCAAGACGGGCCAAGAGGTCTCCAAGACAGCCTTGAGGTCCCAAATGAGCTTCCCAAGAGGGCCCAAAGAGTCTAAAATTGCTGATTTTCCATAGTGTTTTTCGATGTTTTTTCCTTTTCCGCCTTTCCGGCTTCCCGACGCTCCAAGACGCGCGAAGAGGCCCCAAAGATAGCCCCAAGATGGCCCAAGAGTCCCCCAAGACGGCCTCCAGACGGCCCAAGACGGCCCCAAGACGGCCCAAGAGGTCCCCAAGACGGCCCAAGAGGGCCGATTGGAAGGGGGGGGGGTCCGGGACGAGCGATCCACGGGGCTTTTCCTGGCCCAAGAGGGCCTCAAGACGGGCCACGAAGCCCCCAAGAGGCTTCCAAGACGGCCCACGAAGGCTCCGAGACGCCAAACGACCGCTCCAAGACGCCCACGATGGCCCCAAGACGGTCCAAGAGGTCTCCAAGACGGCCTTGAGGTCCCAAATGAGCTTCCCAAGAAGGCCCAAAGAGTCTAAAATTGCTGATTTTCCAGAGTGTTTTTCGATGTTTTTTCCTGTTCCGCCTTTCTGGCTTCCCGACGCTCCAAGACGCGCGAAGAGGCCCCAAAGATAGCCCCAAGATGGCCCAAGAGTCCCCCAAGACGGCCTCCAGACGGCCCAAGACGGCCCCAAGACGGCCCAAGAGGTCCCCAAGACGGCCCAAGAGGGCCGATTTGGAGGTGGGGAGGGGTCCGGGACGAGCGATCCACGGTGCTTTTCCTGGCCCAAGAGGGCCTCAAGACGGGCCACGAAGCCCCCAAGAGGCCTCCAAGACGGCCCACGAAGGCTCCGAGACGCCAAACGACCGCTCCAAGACGCCCACGATGGCCCCAAGACGGGCCAAGAGGTCTCCAAGACAGCCTTGAGGTCCCAAATGTGCCAAGAGGGCCCAAAGAGTCTAAAATTGCTGAATTTCCAAAGTGTTTTTAAATGTTTTTTGCTTTTCCGCCTTTCCGGCTTCCCGACGCTCCAAAACAGGCAAAGAGGCCCCAAAGATACCGCCAAGATGGCCCAAGAGTCTCCCAAGACGGCCTCCAGACGGCCCAAGACGGCCCCAAGACGGCCCAAGAGGTCACCAAGACGGCCCAAGAGGGCCGATTTGGAGGGGGGGGGGGGGCCGGGACGAGCGCAGCACGGCCGGGACGAGCGGTTCCAGGGCTTTTCCGGGCCCACGAGGGCCTCAAGACGGGCCAAGAAGGCTCCAAGAGGCCTCCAAGACGGCCCACGCAGGCTCCGAGACGCCAAACGACCCCTCCAAGACGCCCAAGATAGCCCCAAGACGGGCCAAGAGGACTCCAAGACGGCCCCCGAGGTCCCAAACAACCCTCCCAAGAGGGCCCCAAGAGTCTACAATTGTTGATTTTCCATGGTGTTTCTCGATGTTTTTTCCTTTTCCGCCTTTTCGGCTCCAAGACGGCCAAAGAGGCCCCATAGACAGCCCCAAGATGGCCCAGGAGGCCCCCAAGACGGCCTCCAGACGGCCCACGACGGCCCCAACACGGCCCAAGAGGTCCCCAAGACGGCCCAAGAAGGCTCCAAGACGGCACCAATAGGGGCCCAAGAGGGCGACCAAACATGTTGAAACTCTAGTGTTCTGCCCCCAGGAGCCCCAGGGGGGCCACAAGAGTGCCCCAAGAGGCCCCCAGAGGCCCTCACGAGGCCGCCCAGACGCCCCAAGGAACCACCAAGAAGCACCCCAAAGGCTCCGAAACGGCCCCCGAGTGGCTCCAAAACTCGCGGTGTCGCCGTCCGCTCGGACCTCCCCGCGGAACTGCCCGAGACCCTCTGGCGGTGGCGGCGAACAGACACCAATCAAATATCACTCGCCTTTTCACCCCTTCGCAGCTTCTACTACCCCCAGATTGGCATAAACAAGGGGTCGGCGGTGTGGCGTAAGCCTAAGAATAACTTGAGCCCGCCTCGCCGACCCCCTGGCCATACTGCTCAAGGGCGTCGCCGCCCTCCACCTCGCCCCTCTCGCCCCTGATTGTTCTGCCACACCATCACTCTCGTGAGTTTGAGGCCCCGACCCCCCCCCCATCCCATCGCTCCCTCTACCCGTTCCGTCAACCTGCTTCGCGGATCGAGGACGCGTCGAAGATCGCATCGCCCGACGAACTCGCTGTCCAAATGGCAATGTCGACCGGCATCCCGTCATGATTGATGAAATTGTTTGCGGCCTTCTCCACGTGCTCCGCCAAGACTACCCGGCGACCCTGCATCGCGGTCCGCTTCTTCGCGCTCAGGCGCGCCCTGCGTTGCCCGATGGAGTCGAGACCAACCGAGTGGAGAGTGGTATCGTACTCGAACACACGCAGCGAACTCATCCATAACATGGATGGTCTCCTCGGCCTGCTGCATCGCGTCGCAAGACCGTGCAATTGCGGTCAGAGCTGCTGCGCGGGCGTCGCTGTCCATCGCGGCGTCGAGAGTGGCGGCGCCGGGGATGGCGTTGGTCGGCCCCCCTTCAAATTTCGTTGCAATGTTTTCCAGAGCACCGCGTCCGCGTGGGCAAACGCACCAACGCCTGCTTGGTCCTCCCGAGCCATCGCTGACAGGAACATGAAAAAGGAGCGAAGCGCGTTCGCGAAATCATGTGCAAGCTGCGTGTGGGGGTAGTCGGCAGCGCCGAAGTCGCTGTCGCCCAGGCGGGCGCCCAAGGACTTCTAGACGCCGCCAGTGGGCAAGTTCTGTGCATCAGGGCTGCCGCGTGCGAGTCTTTGAGCTCGGTGGACAGGAGCGCGCTGCACTTGCTGGACATTACATGGCCTGGATCCCCACGGCCGCGGCGAGCATGCGCACCATCATCATCACGAGCACCCGCGTCGCCATCATCACCGCCATCAGCATCGCATTCCCGTCATCATCATGCGCATCCTCATCCCCATCAGCCCCGTCGGCGCCCTCATCATCACAAGCATACTCATCGCCGCAATCACCTTCGCCGCGCCACCATCACAGACATCGCCATCGATCTCATCGTGCTCACGACCACCATCGCAACCATCAGTAACCCCATCGGCCCCTCAACTGCCAACTCCGAGTGGCCCATGGGTGCAAAGCCAAAATTGCAACGCCAAGCGCCTTGCGCACTCAATGCGAACGACGTGGGCGGGGGTTTGGGGCGGGTGGAAAAGCCCGCGCAAGCCCTCGCGGAAAGCAGCGTCGTCAAGAAAGGCGAGCAGACATCCCATGCCAGACCGTGATCAGCCCTGCGGGGCCCGCCAGGATATCGCTGACCATCAGGGGGCGCGTCGCCATGGCGAGCACGTCACCCGACGTGATTTTAGCGCGATTGGACCAGCTGATCCATCCAGGCGGCCAGCTGCGCGACGGCGGTGTCCGTGGTGACGCCGGACAACCTGGTTGTCTTCGCATCGGCGAGAGCGTATTTGGCGAAGTCCGAAACCGTCGCCTGGGCGATGCCGACCACGGCCTCGTCGAACGGCACCTCGTAACGACCGCGTTCCGGCGCTCCTGCAGCTCCGCAGCGGCCCCCCCGCCCACCTCCAGCGCTGCTTGTCCATGGCGGGTGCGATCCCATGCATCTGCCGCCAGACCCTGAGCACCAAGCTGACGCAGACATTCTGCGGATCCGCCATATCAAGGGCGGCCTCGATAATTCGCCGCTCGGCTTCGCTACCGCGCGTAACCCCGAGACACGGAATATCGATCAACATGCTCGTCTCCACTGCGTACCAACTGTCAAACGCATCCATGCCCGACCGCATGGCGCTGGAGGACATGTAGTGCTTCACGTCGTAAGCTGGCAACACCTTGTCAACCGAACGGCTTTGGACGGTGTCGAAAACCTCCTTGGCAGGCTCGGAAACCTGCTGCGCAGGCCGCTGCTCGAGGAAGCGGGCGCGCATGCATGCCCCCTCCTCCGCTCCGCCATCACCCCCCTCCCAGCATGGCCTCTCTCTTGGAAAAGGGGGGCGGGGGCAGCCAGGTGACCTGCGTAGTTTCTCTCTGGCCCCCGCCCCAAGGGGGGGGAGGCAAAGCGCGCCTGGGCACATGTGAGCGAGCAACGACATGTGTACATGTACGCCCTCCGCGGTCTTGCGTGCACGAACCTCCACGCTCAAACGCAATTCCACGAAAACGAACCGCGTACATGTACATATGTTGTTGCCCTCTGAACATGCTAGCCCCCGCGGACACCCCTCCGCCGTCCGTCACGAGGCACGCCAACGATCCGAACCGCGGTCGGGCGTGTAAGTGCTATCCCCTCCAACAGTCGGTCCTCGTATTCGTCGGTATCGTGTGTGTGGGATCCTTCGCACGGTCATCATCTGCATGGAATCCCACCTGGTCATAAGCCGTCGGGCGTGGGTAGCGGAGTTGAACAAAAAACGAAGCGTTTGCGCACAGCTAGACGCGATACGGCAGCTGCGTTTCCATATCCTACCGCGTGCCGTGTAGGCTTGCCAAGATATGATGGAAACCATCGAAACTGATGTTCGTACATTGCGGGGTTCTGAATCTGTTCGCTTATGGTTTCGTCAGTTGCGCAATAGAGTACGCTTTAAAGTTAAGTCCACTAGCGCCGCACTACCCTAAACGACAGCTGGGTTACTAATCTCTGTTGCTACAATATGAAATCATTCGGGCGGCCCTAGCGCTAGAACGGAACCACATGTTTGAAAACGGCCCGCCCTTCATCCGTGAAACTGCTGCGAGCTTGCGAAAGTGCGCGGCGCTCCGGCGATCACCATGTTGTGACAAGGACCCCCTCAAGATGTGACTGTGTTGGAAATGCCAAGCTTCAGGGCCATAGCTGGCGAAGGGGGTTCAGGCGAAATCCATGCCCGCCTCACCAACACGCCTGGGGGTGTGACAGGGACGAAGTACTTCTGAGGAACATGGGTGGAGAAAAAGGGGAGGAAGACGAAGAGAAGGAGGAGGAGGAGGAGGAGAAGGAAAAGGAGGAGGAGGAGGAGGAAAAGGAGGAGGAGGAAAAGGGGAGGGGGGAAGGAGGAGGAGGAGGACGGGAGGGAGGGGGGAGGAGGAGGAGGAGGAGGAGGAGAGGAGGATGAGGATCAGGAGAGGAGGTGGAGGAGAAGAAGGAAGGGGGAAGGAGGAAGAGGAGGAATGGAGAAAACGAGCCGGGAGGGGGGAGGGGGAACCGGGGTGGATGGGGGAGCGGGGGGGGGGGGAGTAGGGAGGAGGGAGGGAGGAGGCGGCGGAGGAGGAGGAGAAGGAGGAGGCGAGGAGGAGGAGGGAGGATGATGAGTAGGAGGAGGAGGAGGAAGAGATTAGGTATGAGGAGGAGGAGGAGGAGGAGGAGGAGAGGAGCACGAGAAAGGAGGACGAGGCAGGCAGGAAGGCAGGCAGGCAGGCAGGCAGGCAGGCAGGCAAGAAGGCAGGCAGGCAGGTGGAGGAGGAAGAAGAGGAGGACCAGTGTAAACCCAAGAGTCATCAGCGATGTTGGAATAACCCCTCCCTCCAAGCTCCCTCTTCATATGCCCCTGCAGCGGTTCATTACCACTGAGGGAACTGCCTCGTTGGAAGACAACCGTTTGAAGGCCCTGAAGCATGCCAAAGCATTGCTCACGGATCAACCTGACTGTTGCGTCTTGACGATCCTGAACGGTGCCAGAACGCCATTCCTGGGACTTCAGCACCGCGAATGAACGTTCCTGTGGCGCCCTCAGAATCCTGAACCCTTCCAAAACACTATATCTGGTACGCTCATCATGGGAATCCGTGAACCTCTTGCATCTTGTACGTGAAAACTCGCACACATGTTTAAAACGAATGTGCGCGGCGCTGAAGCGAGAGACACATTTTGAAGACGGCCCGCCCAATCATCTGTGAAACTGTTGCCAATGTTTTAGCTTCAGGGTCTAAGTGGTGAGGAAGTCTGAGGCGAAACGCCCGGCCCGCCCTAAAACCTGGCCTCGGGGTGCGGCAGGGGGAAACTATTTTTAGGGAAAAGAAATACTGGAGGAGGAGGAAGAGGAGAAGGAGGAGGAGGAGGAGGAGGAGGAGAAGGAGGAGGGAGGAGGAGGGAAGGGAGGGGAAATGGGGAGGAGGAGCAGAGGAGTAAGGATTAACGGGAGAGGGAGGAGTGAGAGGAGGAGAGGAGGAGGAGAAAAGGAGGAGGAGGAGGAATGAGGATGGGAGGAGGAGGAGGAGAGGAGGAGGCAGAGAGAGGAGGAGGGAGGAGGATGGCGGAGGAGGGAGGAGGAGGAGGAGAGGAGGGAGGAGGAGAAGTGGCGGCGCGCCACGCGCAGAGGGGCTTTGGGGAGGGGGGCAGCCTTCTAAGAAGCAGCCTCCTTCGAAAAGGCTCCCCGCCTCCCTAACCCCCTCTGCGCGTGGCTGAAAAGGACTAGTAGGAGGAGGAGGGGAAGGAGGAGGAGGAGGAGGAGGAGGCAGGGAGGAAGGAATGAAGGAGGGGAGGAGGAGTAGGAGGAGGGGGGCACCGGATCTGGCCTGTCCCCGCCGGCTGCACCGTGCGAGCGGTGCCGGGACACGCCGCGGGCGCGCGCTGATGGCGCGCCCTGGCGCGCGAAAAGCCGGCCTGAGCCTCATTTCTCCGTCGACGCTCCACCTCCTTCTCATTCTCGACGTCCTCCCCCTGGGCGTCCTCCTCCTCCTCCTTCTCCTCCTCCTCCTCCTCGACACTTGCTCCTCCCTCGTCAACCATCTCCTCCTCATCTTCCCCCTTCTCGCCGGTCGCCTCATAGACCTCTTCCGTGCGACCCCCTCCTCCTCCTCCTCCTCCTCCCTTCTCCTCCTCTTCTCTCCCCTCCCTCCTCCTCCTCCTCCTACCTCGCTTACTCATGGTCTCGCGCATCGCATCGACCTCCTCCGCGTCCTCTTCGGCCTCCCCAACCTTCTGCCTCTTCCTCCTCCCCTTCCTCCTCCTCCTCCTCCTCCTCCTCCTCCTCCTCCTCCTCCTCCTCCTCCTGCTCCTCCTCTCCTGGAGGCCCCGAGGGCGGCGCAGAGAGCTCGCCGCGCGCGCTCCGCCGAGCAGCGCCGCGCTCGGTGGGCCACGCTGGCCCCTAGCCCACGTAGTGGGACCCCCGGAAGTCGAAGCCCTCGACGCTCTCGCACGGGAAGTCGATCTGGCTGCCGTCCACGAAGAGCGCCTGCGAGGGCGAGGGAGCCTCTCCGGTACCGGCTTCTAGCCGAGAGCAACAAAAAAGCCGCGAGGGAATCTGGGATCCTCGATACCTGCTGCGTTTGGCCCCCCCGCGCCGCCCGCCCCAACGTCGCCGCGGCCAGGTTCGCCCGGGTATTCCAGCCAGGGCACAGGCCCAGGGGGAGGGGGCACCTTTGGAGCGAGGGGCGACTGGGTGATTGGACCTTTCCCCCCACGAGACGAAGGAAGAGGGAGGAGGAGGAGGACGAGAAGGAGGAGGAGGAGGAGGAAGAGGAGGAGGATGAGGAGGAGGCGGAGGAGGAGGAGGAGGAGGGAGCAGGAGGATGATGATGAGGAGGAGGAGGAGGAGGCGGAGGAGGAGGAGGAGCAGGAGGAGGAGGAGGAGGAGGAGGAGGAGGAAGGGAGGAGGCTGGGGAAGGAACCGACACCGATGCCATCAACGACAGCGGCAGGGGTAAGGAGGATAAGGAGAATCGTGGGGGAGGAAGAAGAGCAGTAAGATGGTGACAATGAGGGGGAGAAAGTAGAAACGGAGGAGGAGCCCCACAGTCCGCTCGCAGCGAGTGCCAAGGCCCCTCCCAAGGGGGGGGGCGGGCGCCCTGGCCCGCCTCGTTCAAGCGAATGCGTCTGGCCCGTAGATGCAGCTGCGATGCAGCTGCCGTGGCCTCCTGCCGCGTGCGTGGGCGGCCGCCAGTGGTCTCCGTCCCCTTGTAGGCCCCTGGTGTTCTCATCGAGCTGTCCACCAGGCGATCTGCTCCTGCACGCCCAGCGCGCCCTGAGCCCAGGGTGGCCCGTGGGGTGGGTGGGCAGCAGCAGGCACAGCATTTTCCTCCCAAAGCGGAGCCTCTCCCAATGCGGAGAGATTCACTCCTCCTCCTCCTCCTCCTCCTCCTCCTCCTCCTCTTCCTCCTCCTCCTCCTCCTCCTCCTCCTCCTCCTCCTCCTCCTCCCCTGACTGCTTCCCCTCCTCGTGTTTTTCCCCCGTCCGCGACCAAAGAGCCCTGCTCGGTGTTTTTTGTGCCTAGGGTGCGTGCTCACCCTTTGCTCGGGTGCGACACCTGCACCACACTGTTCCGTTCGCGTCTGGCCCGCAGCGGTGTGGGAGGGGGGGCCTCTGAGCGCC